AAAAAAGGGAAAACAACCCCATCCAGATCCAACCCCAGAACCTAACAAACAGCTAACAAACTTTTCATCTAAACATGTCGCTGTGTGGAAGTATTTTACACTGAACACCACAAAACAAGACAGCAACGTGCACTGTCTGCAGAGCCACAGCGCCACATCAAACCACGGTAAAGTTAGTTTTACGATGGACATTCGAGCTCCGTGGCTTCAGCGTCTGTTGGTTTATGCCATGAACTTAGCAGATGTTTAAAGCCATTTAACATTTTATTTTATTTTATTCATTCATTTAAAAGAAACAAAATAAACAAAACAAATAAATCAAAAAGAAAACATGATGAAAAGAGTGCAGAAAGAAGAAATAAATTATTATATCTGTCCTTTATTTAAAAATATATAAAATAACTTTAAACAATCATTTAAATTAATCACTTTAATATCCACTTTAAAGCTAGGGATAAAAAGAAACACGTTTTGTGTTAGCAGAATTTAATTCTAACTTTAAAACTTATCCAACATTAATAAAACTTACCTCAAGTTGCCTTTTTGGACATGCGTGCATATATTTGTACAATTTGTACTTGAGAGGAGATTATTACAGCCTCGTATAAAATCAATGATCATGATATCGGAACTGGATCGGTATCGGCCGATATTTAGATTTGGGTATCGGATCGGAAGTAAAAAAAAGAAAAAGTGGATCAGTGCATCCCTAATATTTATCCACAGAGTTGATGTGATCAGAGAAATGTTGGACTTCCTGAGATTAAATTTTAACCCAGGTGTCATCAACACACCTGAACCAATGACTAAATGTTTTTACAAATTTTTTTGAACGTCCAGAGGACCTGACTTAACTTTTTTAGATAAAATCCATTCAATTACCAAAACGTCTAGAGGCCAAAAGTTCCCCATATTCTGCATTTGTTTTCAGTCTTACAGGCTGGGAATACTAAAGTAAAGTGCTATGTGTTGCCATCATTGTATGTTCCCATACAATGGTGAAATTGGTTGTCTGCATTTAATGCATCACACCTGGGATACACCCATGTGGAGCAGTGGGCAACTATGTAGGCCCCCAGGAAGCAATTAGGGATTAGGAGTCTTGTTCAGAGACACCATGACATGTGGGAATGGCTGGGATTGAACCCGGGACTTTCGGGTCCGTGTCGGCTGCCCTGCCTCTGCTCCATCTACGCCCCTATACTGAAGGTAAACAAGGATGAAATGAGTCCTCGAGGCTCAATGGGATTTACCTGTCTAAATAAAGGTGGAATGAAAAAGGATGGATGTAAATGAGTTGATGTGGATCTGCATTATTGGACATAACAATATGTATACTTCCAGCAGCTCACCCTTTATGACAAAAGATTACCTCCTGTCCAGGTTAGAGGCTCTAACCGCTGCAAACACCCGTGTCTTCAGTGTCAGTCCTGCCATTGGAATGGACAGCTGCTGAACGTATGATGAGTCCTTCAGATAAATTACAGAAAAAGTTAACAAGTTTTCTGTTGTTGTGACATTTTATTGAATGAATAAACAAAGGTCTAAATGATGGACTGATGGGGAGATTAATTGAACATTTGTAATTTTCACGTGGTTTGAACAGACTCTCTCTCTTTGTAAGGTGCACAGTGTTGTGTTCTGCTGGAGTTGTTGCATGGAGAGGGCACTAGAAAAAAATGTCTAAGACTTTTTGTTAAAATATAATATGCTGTGTGCAGAGAGTGGTTGGGGAAGTGAGGTGAAACAAAAGTGAAAGTAAATGGAGAGAACTTAAGCTGCACGTGTCTGCTTATTTTATCCACTAATTCAATCTTGCAACCCACAACACTGGCGATGAGGATGTCTATTTCTGTGCCTTTACCTGCTCCATTCCTGCCATGCTCAGGGGAACCAGCAATAGCATTTCCAACATGGCTAAAAATGTTTGAAAACTACATGGTAGTGATAGCAGCATCGAGGGAAGGCTGGCCTGATGCAAGAAAGCATGTGGTTCTACTTCATGCCCTGGGTACGGAGGGTCAACGGCTTTTCTACCTCCTGCCAAACACTGGAGACACGTTTGCTGCTGCTGCTGCTCTACAAGAACATTTGTGCCGAAGGTGAACGTCATTGCTGAACGTCACAACTTTCGACAAAGAGCGCAGAGGCCGGATGAGGCGGTAAATCAATTCTTAGCTTCTCCACATGAGTTAGCTGCTGCATGTGATTTTGAAAACATGGAGGAACAAATGTTGCGTGATCAACTGATCGAGCGTGTTGCTAACACTCACAGAAGAGACCGATTCTTACTGGAACCGGAACTAACACTTGCTAAAGCTACTGCATTGGTGTTGCAAATTGAAAGTGGATTAAGGGATGCTAACGTTCTTTCTGATGCTCCTGCTGCTGGTGCTTCTGCTCCGGTGAAGGCCATACAGAAACAATCAAAGCCAAGCTGCCGCTGGGACATAAAGAAGAAGCTGCCGGATCCTGCTCCTGCCACTGCTCAAGCTGCTGGTAACCATTCCTGCTTTGGTTGTGGATCTTCTAACCACCTTGCTAACAAACCTTCATGTCCTGCT